TATTGAGTAACTGCAGGCAAGACACATCTGGGATTAGAGAAAAGGGCCATGAGGGCAGATGGGTGTGGAGCCTAGTCTAGCTGCTGGTACGTCTCACTTTCGAAATTTAGCATGAATGTTTCAAGGCAAGACTTCTGAATACAAGCCTGAAGGCTGCAAGTTTCACTATCCTAGTGTTGCTGTCTTTGATAGCCCTAAGCTCACCCTCAATGTAATAGCACGCCGCCCCCTGGTGGCTCGATCAGTTGTGGCAGGAAAGCAATAGTAACGATACTCCTTTGAGTATCAGCTGTGGATGTTCATTTAATTGCCCCCTGAAGAACAAATGACAGTGATGTTCTTTTTTTTATATAAAAAAAAGTGAGGTGCTGGAAGAAAGAGGACCCATTTCCCCCTTGGATTTCAGAAATCCAGTTATAAGTGAGAGTTCGATGGTCCAGGCTTGACTTTTCTTCAAAATATCCCCTGAACCTGGATGGGATAGATGGAGTTAGTTCCACAGTTGAAATGTCTTCAGCAAGGAGCTGGTGAGGCAGTAGTAAAGGAAACTGCAACTGTGGCTTCACTGACCACATGTAGCAGTGATGTAGTGGAATAGGCCCAGATTAGGTCAACAGAATATTTTAATAATCAAGTTGGCCCTTAATATTTCCTTGAGGGAGAATTGCTGTTATCAGCACCCTAACTGCTACCCAAAGGGTGCTTCCGGACCATCACAATTTGGGGGTAGAATTTAATCACATTCCAGCAGATTGAGTACAGGGAGTACAAGCCTCTCTCTCCTGATGGGCAATAGAGGTGTCCATGTACTCAAGTTATTTGCCATAGAACAGGGCTGGAGAAGCTATGACCCTCCAGAGGTTTGTGGACCACAAGCCTCATCTTTCCCGACCGTTAGCTGTGCTGGGTGAGGCTAGTGGGAATTGGGAGTTGAGCAACATTTGGAGGGTCAGGTTGGTCTGCCCTGTAGGAACAGGAAGCAAATTGCTTGTGTCTAATAGCTCCACGGGGCTATAATGAACAGTGTCATTTGAGAAATGTGAAAAACCTGCAGAATTTCAAAACAGCTGGTAATACTATCATTGTGCATTGCTGTAGGAATGGCTGACTTAACTTTTCTTTTGTTGAGCTAATAGCCTGGGATGGTGAGCTAATGGTTAGGGGATGATTTTCTTCAAATCACCTTTAAAGCAACATTCTTTTTTTATTCTTCTTTTTTCTTTCTTCAAATATAGCATTAAGCATTTTATCTCTTTTCTCTCTCTCTGTCTCCCATTCCCAATCTTTTTTTTCAGACAACCAGTAACGAAAAACACATTTAGGCAGTACAGGGTATTAGGAAAAGGTGGATTCGGGGAGGTAAGTAGTTCTGGAAACTTCTGTTGAAAACAATGTGTTCCTCGGAAGAACAGTAAGCCAGCGCCACAAATATCTGATGGACTGAGCATGAAAATGTTAAGGACTGTGTGATTTCCATGATTTAAGGTTAAAGAATCTTTAAGCTTAAGCCATAGATGGTGTGCATCAGGCAGTGTTTTTGAGATAGTAAATGTTTACCTGTATGTAAATATAAAACACTAGTAAACCATATTGCTTGAGAGAAAAGCAACATCTCAGTAGTAGAGAATCTTCTCTGCATGTAAAAGATCTCAGATCCAATTCTTGGCATCTCCAGGTATGTCTGGGAGAGGTCTCTGCCTGAAACTCTGAAGAGCTGCTTTCAATCAGTGTAGCCAATACTGGGCTAGATTGACCAATGGCCTGAGTTGGGATATGGCAACTTCCTATGTTCCTTTGTTGAAGAGGCTTCCAAGACTCCTTTATTGCATCCTGTTTCTGTGGTTGCTCTTTTGAAAAGTGAGGGTTGCATCTCAAACCCTTGGTTGGCTGCAGCAGGGTCTTCTTCTGCCTCAACCCTCCAGAATGGGAACTTGCATTTTCTGTAGGTCCCGGAACCTCTTTCAGCCCAAGGGCCACAGCCCCTTCTACACAGCCTTCCTGGGGCCACAGCCCAGTGGTGGGCTGCACTCGAGACAAAAGCGGGAGCAGAGAATGCAAATTGTACCTTTGTACAGTAGGCTAGTGTCTAGGTACATCCCCATGCGCCTTCTAGTCTCCATCCAGGCAAACAAGAAATACAGTGGTGCCCCGCAAAACGAATGCCTCGCAAGACGAAAAACTCGCTAGACGAAAGAGTTTTCCGTTTTTTGAGTCGTTCCACAAGACGAATTTTCCTATGGGCTTGCTTCGCAAGATGAAACGTCTTGCGAGTTCTTGCGAGTTTGTTTCCTTTTTCTTAAAGCCGCTAAGCCGTTAATAGCCGCTAAGCCACTAAGCCGTTAATAGCTGCTAAGCCGCTAAGCCGTTAATAGCCGCTAAGCCGCTAATAGCCGCTAATAGCCGCTAAGCCGCTAATAGCCATGCTTCGCAAGACAAAAAAACCGCAAGACGAAGAGACTCGCGGAACGGATTAATTTCGTCTTGCGAGGCACCACTGTATTAACAGAGCTGAAGAACACATTCTAACCAGGCAAAGCATTCAAAGAATGTGCAAAGAAGGTCTGGGAAGGGTGTGGCTGAGGTATGGAGAGTCTCAAATGCTAGATGGAGAGGCCAGGAGGGCCAAATTTTGGGTGCCAGGCCTGAAGTTCCCCATCCCATTGGTAGAGGTTATTCTGGTCAGTGTCTCTCAGTTTAGGATATTCAATGAGTTCTGTAGCTCAATGCGCTCTGAATTTTCCTTCAAACTTTGCTCCTTGTCCCATACCGAAGTTCATCTATTAGTTAGTCTCTTCAGTTAGTTCTGAATTTCCTTTAAAAGTAAGATGGGGGAGGGGTTCAGATAATACAGTTTTATCAAGAAGTGATTTTGGTAACATAGGCATCAATCCTAACCCCACCTACCTTGGAGCAAGCCTTGTTGAATGCAACAAGACTTCCTTCTGGACTGTCATGGTCAGGATTACCAGTTTTAAATTCCTCCTGCACAACCCCCCCCCCCACAATTTGTTGATGTTGTTGTTTTCCTTCTAGGTGTGTGCTTGCCAAGTAAGAGCAACTGGGAAAATGTATGCATGCAAAAGATTAGAGAAAAAAAGGATAAAGAAGAGGAAAGGTGAATCCATGGCCCTAAATGAAAAGCAGATTCTAGAAAAAGTCAATAGTCAATTTGTAGTAAGTATTGCCAAATTTGCAATGGGCACAGGCTTTCCATTGGGCGGCACACCCATCAAGGAATGGCATTAGTCACAGGAAGTGTATAATGCTTCCAGAAAACATCTCGCCTCAAGCCAACATTCTGAAGTTGGCTGTACAGTATATGATATGTTTTGTCACTCCCAGTACAGCCTTTTCTGTGCATCATTCTTTGATAGTCCAAAACGTCAGGGCGTCTCGTGCTTCATTTGTCAGACCTTGAGCTGCTGCAGACATAGGAGATGCAGGAGTGAATTGAGAAGATCAAACCCAGAGCAGCACAGGAAGCCAAACCACCACCACCAATGATAATTGTGTAAAAAGTGATTGATAGTTAAACAAAACATGGCTGCATGTAAAATAATCTAAGGGGGAAGGTCTACTGCTGCCATCTGCAATAAATTATCTGTTTTGTTCTGATGAAGTATGAAATGGGGTGCAGTCTAGGATATCTCGTCATAATAATGTAATAATCTGAGCTGTTTGTAGAAATTGTTGTGATTGTTACAGAATAACGGCTACCACAGCTTTATGTGCTATCTTGTGTTGTTCAACTATAATCACTTTTTACATGATTGTTATTGTTTTTTGGGGACTCCTGTAACTTGGTCTGTTGTTTCTCATTCTTTTGGGGACTGTCTCCTTTGTTTTGGTTGTCTTCAGGTCTCTACTTTTGCTGAAAAAGTATTCATGGCAGCATGACACTATGGACCTGCAAGTGATAATCTTTATGAAAACGACCGTTGCTTCCAAATTTTCAGAGTTTTGTTTTTTAACCCTTGACGATTTGCCTATCTCCCCTTTGGCTCCATTCAATCATATGATACTTTATGTCATTCCAAATGCAGAACATTAGCAATGAATGAATATGTGTGCACCAAGCACCTGTCTTTGTGCTTTAAACTATCCCAACTGTTCTTCTAGGTCAACTTAGCCTATGCCTATGAAACAAAGGACGCACTCTGTTTAGTTCTAACCATAATGAATGGGGGTGACCTGAAGTTCCACATCTATAATATGGGGAACCCAGGCTTTGAGGAAGAAAGAGCCTTGTTTCATGCAGCAGAGATTCTTTGTGGCTTAGAAGACCTGCACAAAGAGAACACTGTGTACAGGTAAATATCATTCTGGTGTGTTCAGAAACTTGTTGCAGAGTCTGTTTTATTTTCCTGAGACTTTACATAGATATTTATGATATGCAGAACCACCTCCATGTTTTGTGCTTGTGAGTGAGCTTTTCAGGAGTATCACATAAGGACCCACACATTGAAATTTTATGTAGAAGCTGCTCATCCATTAAATAATGAAAGCCATCTACTTAGAAATTGAAGATCCTGTATGTGGATCTGTCTGGAAAATGTTACAATCCTTATCTAGTTTCCCCGCCTGCGACAGCCGTAAGATTCCTATATTCAGTCCCCAGCCTCTCTTGAGTAACAAGGCTGGGACCTCTGCTTAAGACTTCGGGAAGCTGTGGTATATGGTTACCAGATTTTGTTCAATTAATCCAGGGACCCTTTTTTTTTTTTTTTGAAGCTGAGTAGCAACAAGGAGTCAGTAGTCGGGATGGTGAGGCAAAAGACCCTGGGTCCAAGCACACATGCATATTGTATAAAGGTGCAAAGCCCTTCTTTCACACCCTGTGAAACATGAATGCGCAGAGTTTTTTAAAAAACTGGGAAGTGGCGCGCCACGCGCCCATGACTCCCAAGCCTTCCCTGATGTCCTTTCCCCTTCTCCCTTTGTTTTGACAGATCAGGGAGGCTCGGGAGCCACGGGCAGGCAGCTGTTGCCCAGGAGGGGCCAGCCTGTTAGCGCAGTTGGCTCTGGCTGGCTTCAGGAGCTGCTCGCTGCTGTGGTGCAAGAAACATGGCGGGTGCCACAGCAGCGAGCAGCTCCTGAAGCCAGCCAGAGCCAACTGCGCTAACAGGCTAGCTCCGGGCTGCTGAGGCTGCTGCTGCCATGTTTCTCGGGGACAGATTTGCAAATCTGGGCTATGTTATAATGATTAGTTATCTGACTTTATAGACTCATATGTTCAAGAGTTTCAGCCCTAGGATTACAAGGGAAGGGGCCATAGCTCTGTGACAGAACAGATAGTCTGTATGCAACGTGGACTTCATTTTACTGGTGGAGAAATAGGAGGCAGGACTATTTTGTGATGCACCGGGAGTCAACTTCTCCTTGATCTCGAAGAGGATAATTTATCAAAGAGATCCTTTTTCAAAGGGACCAGAGCCTGGTGTCAAAGATCAAAATGGTTGGGCACCTCCAGCAGGGGTCCCACTGGCAAACCTCCTGGATGGGCTCTCACCACTGCAACCTGCTTGTTCACCTGCTTCATGCCCTGACTCAGAGGGAGATGAGCAAGCAGAAGGCAAAGAAGGTGAAAAGCAGTTTGTAGCAATGATGAGCTAGAGGAGCAGCAACATAATGACCACGAGTGGTGGAGTCACTAAGGGAGGGAGACCATCGAGGGCATCTTGCTCAAGAACCCCTACAAAACATGGAAGTAGCACTGGATAAGACACAAGTGTCTTATCTGTCCTGCCAAGTACATGTTTGAACTTCCATGAACATTGTAAGAATTTCCCCCTATTTTGTTTTATGTTATTATTTTGCAATAGTGGGGGTATTGCCCCTTAGCTACCGATCAACAGCCTACATGTAGAATGCAAGAGAATTAAAACATTTTGGACTCGTCAAGGAAACGTTTAAAATTGGAACGAAGAGGTTTGTTGAGAATGACCTTTCATCCCACCTCTCCAAAGCGAATCTTTTTGTTAGCACTGTGAATAAGCATACAGTAGTATTTAAAATAAAGCCATCCATTTTCTTCTGCCTTCTCTCACCCTTCACATATTTTCTCAGAGTTGTTTGTTTGAAAAGTAGGCCTGGTCCCATTGGTTTATCTTGTGAAGTTTATCTTGTGAGGTCAATAGGGATTTAAACCAACAAAAGGAAGGGAACAAAAATGTTCTTCGTACATGTGCCTTGGCTTATAATAATAAATAATGTGCATGATATGTTTTGAATAAACAAAAAAGTTCCCACTTGATTAGTAAGGGGAAACCACTAAGTTTTCTGTCCGGTGATCGCAAAACCTAAAATCATTTAAAAGGGAGTAAATTAAAGCTCTGTATAATGGGTGGTCCTCTCACAGTGCAAATTGCTCTAACAATCAACTTGGAGAATTAAAGTCTAGCCAATTCACATGGTTGTTTCTGTGGTGACGAAGATCTGTGTATCAGTTTGCCCACCTTATTGTCACATGGGGAGGTGTTTGAAGCAGCCCCTCCCAAATACAATAATCTGTGAAGCAATATTTTAACAAGTTTTCTCCAATGCATGAATTTAATAAAGCAAATAGTTATCCTTATAAAAACTGGGTGGTAAATAGACTTTTCTACCTCAGAAGTAAATATGTATAAATTGGCATTGTCTAAAAATAGGTTGTGAAATAATAATAGTGCAGTGGCTTTTTGAAATCCAGAAAGCCAAGTTGAGTGTGGATTTTTTTTTAGATGGTCAGCACCCCTTTGGTCACTTCCATACACTGGGGCAAGCTAGCCCATATTTATATGGGTGGCATATAAATAATAAAGTGGTTATAAAATTATTATTATTCTAATATTATGATGGTGGGTTAGACACTATCACCTACATGATTCTCAGAGTTCTCTGTCAACACAAATCTCATTGAACTGAATAACCTTGTGCCAGCAGAGCGGAATATTATTTGATGGACCGGGAGCTTCCATCTTGCAATAGTTTAAAAAAAAATAAAAATAAAAAATGACGTTTGAAATCTGTTTTCTGAGAATTGGCTCCCTGCTGTGTTATAGCTGGAAGGAAACAGCATTCTGATGCCTTGCTATTCCTCCAATATCAAAGCTGCTTTCATACAAATAATTGCAATCTTTCCTCTTTCTTTCTCTCTCTCTCTCTTTTTAATAGGGATTTGAAGCCAGAAAATATCCTGTTAGATGATTATGGTAAGTCTGAGAGCTTTAGGCAAGGCCTTTTCTTCCACAGTAAAGTAGCTTACATTTAGTTGTATGACATGGTATTGTTCAGAGCCAAATCATTCTCTGAAGTGGGTAAGACATGGAGCAGCTTCCACTGCTTTTCTTGGGATATAGAAAAGGATAGACTTCCCAGAAAAGAGAGAGAAAAGAAACTGCTATTATGAAAATCAGTGGGTGTTAGGTTCAGGGCAACAGATCTGTAATAAGTAAAGTTGTTCATTCTCCTTATTACTTTGGGAATTTTCCTTAATAAATAATTATGGTGCTCAGATTTGTATGCTGCCCCCCACACTGCCTTTGCAGATGCACTCTATCCTACTTTTCGGAGCCGTTTCCAAGATGAAACCCTGCGTTACTGTTTTTGATCAGCTGTGTCAAAACTAGTAAATAACATAGGCACTGAGTGGGCGACAGTGAGAACAGGATTGCTGTACTAGATGGGTCATTGGCCTGATCCAGAAGCACTCTTTTTGTGTTATGTTCCCTGCTCTCAAGAGAGAAATGGTTTTGAGTTGTGCTTGGTTGTTCTGTATTCCTGTTCCTAGGAATACTATTCCAGAAAATAAAATCTCAGAGCCCAGAAATGAATGATGCTTTAGCCTGCTCTTGTCCACAAAGATGATGCAGGCCAGCATAGGCCAGCCAATCAGCTTCCTGCGGGGGAAAATGAAATCCTGATAGTTTAGGGTACCAGATCCCATGGAGGCTTTTACTTATACAGTCATATGCACAAAGGGCCCCTCTCTATTGACACTCACTTTGTGCACACAGGTGTCAGGAAAATTACTAGAAAGAGCATGCAGTTCTGGGTTCGGGCTCCCTAGTGTGTCTCTGCTCCTCGTTTCCATTCTGCTGTACACAAGAGCTGATAGTGCCCAAATTGGGATTATACGGAGCTTGATGAACAAATGCCCTGACCTGGAATAAGGCAGTTTCATTTGTTCCTTGATTGGTTTTTGAGATCTTTCAAAGAGCCAGTATCATTTTATTCCTTTAACGTGCTTAGATTTATTTTTTATGATGTGAATTTTTAGGAAAAAAAGATTTGGTTGTATCAGCTGATGGCAGGCCTTCCACCTGCCGAACAGTATGGGGACCAGTTTGGGGCAATTCTCCCTAACACTGTCTTCTCACTGCCCTGGGCTCCTCTTTCAGTCTCTTATGGAGGGGGAATTCCCCAACTCTCTGGAGCAGATTTAGGGAGGTGTGGAGCTGAGAGATGCCTTATCACCAGCGGAATGATACAACCCATTGTTTTGTAGAGGTATATAGCTATGCTAGAACATTTGTGTTTTTTCCCTCCACCTCCTTTTAGGCCATATCAGAATATCTGATTTGGGTCTAGCTGTTAAAATCCCTGATGGTGAATCAATCCGTGGACGGGTAGGAACAGTCGGTTACATGGGTAAGTGATTTAGTACCTTATGTGTGTTGCTATCAAAACTGTCTTCTCAAACTTGCTAATGCAAAGTAATACCAAAAGGTAAAATAAAATAAAATAAAATCAAGCACAGCAAAGCAGTCACGGGCAAAAGGCTCTCTTTATTTTGATAAGTTTGAGAAAGATGTCATGACATAAAAGAAGTGTGAAATCCAGTGTAGCACTAAGTTTCTTTATTATTATTATTACAGTATTATTATTATATAATTTTTTAAATAATTTTTCTATTTTACAATTTAGAATATTCATTTAAACAACTTTAAAATATCAATGACTTCCCTTCTTCTCTTTCCATGGTTCATTTTACATACCATAAATCCCTGCATATTTTACATAAACTAAACCATTCAGTGTTCCATTATTACAGCCATCAAAACTTGTTTACACTGTTGAATTTATCTTAATGCTGCCAACGTTTTCAAGTGTACACAAGTTTCAGTCCACATATTAGTCAAAGAGTTATATATCAGGGGTTGCACTCAACATACTGCAAGGTAAGTTGCTCTGTCAGCGCAAGGATTCATTCATTCATTCAGAAGAAGAAGAAGAAGAAGAAGAAGAAGAGTTTGGATTTGATATCCCGCCTTTCACTCCCTTTAAGGAGTCTCAAAGCGGCTAACATTCTCCTTTCCCTTCCTCCCCACAACAAACATTCTGTGAGGTGAGTGGGGCTGAGAGACTTCAGAGAAGTGTGACTAGCCCAAGGTCACCCAGCAGCTGCATGTGGAGGAGCGGAGACACGAACCCGGTTCACCAGATTACAAGACTACCGCTCCTAACCACTACACCACACTGGCTCTCAATTCACAGTGGAACTTCCTCTCACCATGCTCCCCCAAATCCATTCTGGGGGTTCCCAGTAGCAGATGTAACATGTGAACCGATCCTTTTGCCAAATCAAAGCTTAGATGGAATCTTTTCTTTCATTCTTGAATTATGGCTGGTTATTTAGCCATGGGTGTGATGATGTCAGTTCAGAAATGGATCCCATCTACCTCTCTTGTTTTCCCAGCTCCAGAAGTCTTGAATAACCAACGATACACCCTCAGCCCTGACTACTGGGGGTTAGGTTGCCTGATCTATGAGATGATTGCAGGACAATCTCCCTTTCGCGGAAGGAAAGAGAAGGTGAAGCGAGAAGAGGTAGACAGGAGAGTCTTGGAGACCGAGGAGGTGTATTCCCATAAATTCTCTGAGGAGGCAAAGTCTATCTGCAAAATGGTAAGGGGGCTCTTTTTCTTTCTTTCTTTTTGGAGACGTGAAGCCCAAATTTGTTAGCAGCCTGCATTGAATAGGTAATTACAGTTGAAAAAGATTAATCCAATGTTAACGCTGTACTTCAGGAGCATGAAAATTAACCAGAGGTCATAGAAGTTGCACTGAATAATCATTTAGGTTTTTTAGTTTGCTCCCTCCCTAGTGATGTTTCTGTCACTTTACACAACAGAAAAGTATTAGCCATCC